GAAAACGTGACTAAGTATAGAGTTTATTTAAGCTCAAAGCTTGAGGATGGCCACACTGGAGGACAGATTTGAGTTGCCCTAAATGTACACTCCAATTAGCAGCAGTCACAAGTGGGATTTTAAGGAAAAAGGAATAGGCAGTTCCTAAACTGTTTACCGAGAATTTACATTAAAATAACATAAGCTATTGATTGGCTATACATTGTTCTTATATCATAAATTCCAGGAACAAGACGATAACCGGTGAAGCAACTAGTCTGGAACAAAATACCTTTGACACTTGTCCCCCTGTGGGGTGGGGTGGGGAGCGTGACTGAGGTCCCATACTCATATCTCTCACTATTTCTCTTTTCTCATTTCTCCCCCTTTCATCAAGAACTTTCAGGAACATCGTGGATGAACTCAAGCAGTTTTGGTTCCTTTTGTGCTCAGGAGTTAGTCCCATGTTGCTAGGAAGGCCATTCCTGGATGGCCCTGTCCCACGTGTCGGGGGGACAGGGGTGGGGTGTGTCTCAGTGGGGAATACCCTCCAAAAGATGTACTGGGATGGCATCGTAGGGTGGCAGAAATGAGACCTCAGTCGAATCACTGATTTATACAGCTGCTGTTGCTTATTGAATCATTTCTAATCTTCAGAATTCCATAAGTTTAGTTTATTCAGAAGAAGTAAAACAATGAGAGATACATAGAAATGTAAGGATTAAAATTTTAAAAAACTATATGCCAGGATGAAAACACCACTATCCCACTGGTGAGTCAGTTAAAAACATCATGAAGAAAATTAAAACCTGGTCCTTCTTTAGAGATTGGTAGCCAGGAAATAATTCAGAATTTAGTCCAAATTAGAATAATGAAAACTCTAAAACAATGTCCAGGGCTGGAATCTAATACCAGGCATGCTACAGTTTTCTTCTGAAACATAATTATTCTCCCTCCAGTTCCCCTTTTCTAGCAAAGAGAAATCTTAGTAGGACCAATTTACTTGCAAAATAAGTTTTAGTATTATACTTGGCCTGATTATTTGCATAAAGTGCAACAAGAATACTGAATGGCCATATAGGCTCTTTTAAGTTGGGTTTGCTGGAACCTTTTTATAAGGAATCTCACATTAGACTTTTAAAAGCCTCTTCAGGGTAGAAAGCCAAGACAAGGATTCACCGTCAGACTGTAACACATGTACGACTTGGGTGAATGCCTTTCTTCTCAAGGTTCCGAAATATCTAGAGGTTCCTGGGCCTGTCAGAAAGTGGCATTCTTTACTTACCACAAGGTCAGGGACCTTGAGAGGCAGCTGTGTATTAGGCCTGTCTTTCCTAGGGGCTTTTTATCAGTTCTGTGAAGTCAACCTCAATTCCTCAAAGCAGTCTGGTCATTTCTGAAAATATGCCATTCCTGTCAAAGCTTTAGTAAAATTACCAGTTTGTCTCCAATGTACCTATGACAAAAGAAAACATGAAGTTATTCAAATAATTATATTGCCATAAAATAAGAATACTCACAAATAATTTCCAAATTCTGGAGAAATCAGGTAGAGAAAAAGGTAAATGTTATTAAACTGGCCTTTTACCTTCTGGTAGGGATCTGGCTGCTACATAGTGTTAGTAACAGCTGCTCACGTGGAAGAGCGTGTTGCCAGACTCAGCCTCCAGTCTGGACCTTCCCTTTTGCATAAGGAGTTGGGGTGGAGGGAGTCCTGAGATTTTTATTTTCCTTTCCATTTGATAAAAAAAGACAAAACATAAAGATGTAATATACAAATGATTGCAGTATATACGAATATTATTAAATGAAAGAAGCAATTAGAAATGTGGATTAAAACATATCTTGCCACATACCTGCCCCAAGTTAATGAGCACCGAGCTGATTACCACCTGTTTGCATAGAAGGAGTGTGGAGGGAGCGGGAGGAAAGGGAAACATACAGGGGGATAATTTTAAAATATAATTTCAAAATATTACCCACTCATATATGTACAACATACACAGAAAAGAACATAGCAGACCACTCACAGAAGTGGTGAGAGAAGAAATTTTGAGTGGGTGGGATTCTTTAGGGGAAGTTTTATGTTCTTTTGACTCATTAAAAGAAAATCAAAGTCTCAGGGCCACCCCTCAACTCCTTATGCAAAAGAGAAGGTAAAAGCTTCAAGCACCTGTAACAGAGGTAAAGCTCTGAAAAAGGGCAAAGAAATGTTTCACGTGTTGTCTCTTTAAAACTGCCTACCCTTTTTGGGAATTAAAACCTGCATCCCTTCCTGAGGCCAGTAATCAAAGGGGCAGAAAAATGTTCTTTGCAGTTTGTTTTCTATAATAGCGTCTTAAACCACAGGGGATGGCTCAACAGAATTGTCACAAGATCATAGTCAAGAGAGATAAGGTCAACGGACACCACCAGTTAAACAATAGTCCAAAGCCACGTGTGACACTGGTCATGTAGCCCTGAGCCCACCTGCAAAAACCCCCTTTTAAAAAGCCCTGTTTTTCTGTTTAAAGACGGGATGGTGGTCTTCTGAGATGCTAGTCTACTGCCCTCCTCATTTTGCTGGCAAATTAATAAAAAATTCTCTTTCCTTTTCCTTTTTTCCACTTGTCTGCATTCTTTGTTCTCACTGATTTGGCCTCAGGGACAAATACCGAATTTCTTTGGTAACACAACCGTGGAAGAACTGGCCCCACAGATCATTCATTAAGGAAATTCCTTGCTAACCTCCCATAAGCAAGGACATGCAAATTGTATGTAAGTCTAGCACCTAAAACTAAAGCCTGTATGATTCCACACTAATAATGAATTACAAGTTTATCTTACAGTTAGGATAACTGGAGACAAGACAGAATCAGACATTCTTCCAACTATCCAGGGACATCTACATAATTGATGCTTCCTCCACTCCCTTTTTCCCTTATTTTTTTGTAAAATGTAGATTTCTTGTGTCTCACAAGAATGCAACCACTTTGCCTCATCAGCCCCGCCCCCCCCCACCTTTTTCCTTCTCTCTGCATGTCTTTAAAATGCTGAAGTTTCCAACTTCCCCTTCACAAAAACAGCCACAGCTTGTCTGCGGTTCGTGTTTTCCCCGGTGCGTCCTCAAAAGTCTTGGCTTAATAAACCTCCATTGACTGAGATTTTTGCCACAGTCATTTATTTGAAGGACAGCCTACTCTGTTTTCTTTCTTACATTTTTATATTTATAAAAGTTACATTTACTTTTTAAAGTGTCAACTTTAAGTAATGAGACTGGGAAAACATAATTAAGTATAGAGTTTGTTTGAGTGCAAAGCTTGCAGAAAGCTACCGGAGGAAGCAGACTTCAAACAGAAGGAGTCAACGTTCCAAAGTGGGGAAGTGAAGGTTTCACTTACATGGGCAGAGCCAGGGCACTACCTTTTCCATACAAGACCAGGTGTACATACCACAGCAGTTTGATTGGATACAGGCTGCTACGTTCCAAGGAAGGTTACTCTGCTACTCCTTGAGGAGGGGTAGTGATCTGAGGGGGTTTTGTCTCTGGTGCACTTTGGTCCTAATTATTTATACGAAAAAGGCAGAAGAAAAGGCAGAAGTTGCAGCTGCATGCTGCGTGGCCCAGGCAGCACAGCCACACTCCTTCCAAGGCTCAGGATAAGTTAAAGTTCTAACAGCTTTAATATGATTTATTTTAAGTTTGAATTACTTAATTTCACAAAAGGTAATACATGTATGCATGGATTGAAATTCAAAAGCACAAAACATCATCCGGGGAAGCATTTCTCCCACTTCTACTCTCTCTTATTTCCTAGTACCCCTCCCAGAAGGCACTGCACCATGTCAGTTTTCTCATCTGTCTTCCTAGGGACAGGTTAAAGATCCTTCCACCCAATCTTTTGTTAATTTTCTAGTTTACCCACATGGAAGCATATGATAAACACTGTCCTATACTTGCTTTTCCCCCACTTACTGTATCTTGGAGATTGTTCCATATCCAACAAGAGCTGCCTTGTTCTTTTAAACAGCCACCCAGTATTTATTCCATTATATGAGTATACCGTGACTTATTTAATCAGTTCCTGACTCGACGGGTCTTTAAATTGCCTGCAACCTTTTGCTATTAATATTACAAATGGTGCTTTGATGACTGTCCTTATATGCAGGTCATTTTGCACACATGCATATCTGTTGTATATTTCCCAAAATTAGAATCATTAAAGAATGTAAATGTTTGTTTTTAAACGTAGCTTGCTCATCACGGAGAGCACACCAATACCACTCACAAAAATGAGAGTGCGCCCGATTCCCCGCAGTCTTGCTAACAAAGTGTCATCAACCTTTTGATCTTTACTGACACATGAAAAATGGACTATACTGTAACTTTAATTTTTCTTAATATGAATTAAGTTGGGCCTTTTTTCCTATGTTAAAATCCATTTTGCATTTCTTTCCCTATGAACTGTCTTTTCAGGTCTTTTGCCGATAGCTTGAGCCACTGGTCTCTTCATATCGCCTTACTACATCTAAAGGAAATATTGGCTCTACATCTAAACACTATTACAATTTTGAGGTAGGTTTCAAATTTTTCCCTAGCTTATCTCTGACTCCATTGGCTGTTTGTGTGCACTAATTTTTTTGTTAATGAGAATGCGTTACTTTTATTAACAAATTTTAACTTTATCACGGGAAAGAAAGGTTCAGCTTATGTCACGTCCGTTTCCATCGCTTACACGTCACCCGATTTTTCACTGGGGTAGTTCCTGTCGGTTCCCCTGTTCCTCCTCCGCACCCTCCCGAGGGTCGCGGCACCGCACCTGCGCCTTCACAGTTTCCGGTTCCTCCCTCACCGCGAGCCCCCGCGCCAAGGCAGCGCAGCGGAACCAGCGGCGCGGCGCCGCGCGCGTTTCCCTCGCCAGAGGGGACGCGTTGGCTGCGGCCTTCCGGGGGGGGGCGCGTCTGGAGCGGAAGGGCCCGCGGCGGCGCGGGGCCTCCGGCGGGTCTGGGCTGGGACCGGATCGCGGGGCGCGGGGCGCGCGCCGGGCGGCGAGTGCGGCGGCGGGAGACGTGAGGCCGGCCCCCCGCCCCGGGCCCGCGCCGCCATGAACCTGGAGCAGCTGCGGAAGCGAGTCCGGCAGTACCTCGACCAGGTGGGCGGCGCCGGCCGGGGAGCTTGGGGCCCCGGGCTGCTGAGGCCGGGCCGCCCGCGTCCGTTTCCGCGGGGCTCGGGGCTTGGTGAGGCTGGATCGCACCGGCCGTGGGCCTTGGTGTGGGGCGCTCCCTGTCTCCGCCTCGCCCCGAAGGGGGGTCCCGGCCCCGTGCGGTCCGTGCAGCATGGAGGGTGAGGACCGCGAGAGTGCAGGGATGAGGCTGGCGGGTCCGAGCTGCAGCCGGCCTGGCACCTGGCACGGAGCAGGTGCTCAGTGAACAGCGCGACGTGGAAGTTGAAGGGTTATTTTTAGAGGAAGGCTGCAGGGTGGGTGGCCTTAGAATTTGGCAGGCTAATAGAGCATTTTCAAGAAGTTTAGTCGTAGTTCTTACTAGGCTGAATTTAAGTGAACGAAGTTCAGATTACTTAAGTTGTCTCAAGTCAGTACTTTTAAAAATTCTTATTAACTACATCTGCATCTCCTGCACTACCCTTGAGTGAATAGCAAAGAGCGTTTAAAGAAAAGAAGTGACTTCCACGATCAGCGGCAGTTTCATCCATGGTGTCGTTTAGTTTATATTAAAATCCTTGCTCTCCCAGGAAGTTGGAAAGGCAGAAGGGAGGGAAAAGCCATGTTTAACGCAAAGTATTCTGAGTTAGATGCTAAATGATGTGGCCGAATATTTGCAGTACCTTGGAGCGCTGTATTTTTGTGTCCTGTAAGTCAGCTGAATTAAATGTTTTCTGATCATTTTTTCTCTGGCACTGGGATGTAGTGAGGAATGTGACAGGCCTGGTTTCCACCCTCCAGGAGCCTGTATCAAGCCAATTTGTAACCATCCTGTAAGCATTCCTCCTGCCCCTGGCAGTAGTGTTCCTGGTTTCCATTCGGAGGAACTGAGGCAGAGATTGTGGAAAGACTGAGAACTAGAACAGGGACTACAGCTAGCCATGGTAAAACTTGTGAGTGGCTTTCCATTGTCATCTGCTTGATTTTTGTGTG